AGAAGAGAAGGCTCTGAAGAGACCTTAATGCAGCCTTTCAGTACTTAAAAGGGGCCTACAGGAAAGACTGAGAGAGACCTTTACCAAGGCCTGTAGTGACAGGACAAGGGGTAACGGTTTTAAACTAAAAGAGAGTAGATTTAGATGGATATAAGAAAGAAATTTTTTTCAGTGAGGGTGGTGAGGCACTGGAACAGGTTGCCCAGAGAAGTTGTGGATGCCCCCTCCCTCGAAGTGTTCAAAGCCAGGTTGGAGAGAGCTTTGAGCAACTTGATCTAGTGGTAGATGTCTCTGCCCATGGCAGGGGGAGTGTACGAGATGATCTTTCCAAACCATTTTACGATTCCATGATTCAGAGCCCTGGCTTTGGCTCTGCAGAGTCCTCCTGTACCTTTGCTGAAGTACCTATATGGTGCTTCAAGAGTTTGTCACACTGTAGGCTTTCCCCATATTTCCAGCAGGTCCAGAACTCCCAGCCAGATCTGGTTTTGCCATCACAGACAAAGTCAAGAACAGAACAAAGTGTCTACACAACTGGTGAGCCTGGCTTTGGTACTCTGAAAGTGCTTAGCAATGCCAAAAATTTGCAAGGGGTGTTAATGCAGATAGCAGAAGTCCTGTTCTCAGAGAAGACAGCCCGAGGAGAATTCTGTGCAGAAGCCTGAGGCAAAACCAGCTCTGAGGCAGAGAGCAGCTAAGGAAGGCCGGGCTGCAGCAAGCAGCACCACTTACACAAGTGGTCACACCTCAGCTACCTGACTGCAGGGATCAAGGATCAGAACTAATTAGCAAAAAGGTCTAAACTAGCTAAGTGGTTGATCCATCAGAAAGTCTCCCAGCTTAAAGTTAAGCATCGACACCTTCTGAATAAAATTTGAACCTGCACAGCAAGTTTAGGCCAGCCTAGCTACACTGGTTTTGGTCCTGCTCTGGGAGGCTTAAAGCCGATCACCCGAGCACAGCCCTACCAGTTCATCTCACTACACTTCCTCTAAAGTAATTCAACTTTTGTGAGACTTTACTTCTTACTCTTCACTTGTCAGATATATATAAATACCAGAATCTGTTGCATCCGCTGAGAAGTGCGCTTATATTCAAATGCCTGAGTAGGCCAAATTTGAGAAATGCTTGTTTACAGGCCACTTCTATTTCGATGCCTGTGTACAGATTGCTGTTTGCTGTTTGTTCTTTCGCTGTTCCTGTCTGAAAAAGCTAAGCTGGGGTTGTTTTACCTAAAGAAGTATCTCAAAGAAGGACACCAGTCGTTCCAGTCGCCTGTTTATGTTTGGTGTTCGTTCTTCATTGACCAAGCTAGCAAATTAAATATAGTTTCCCGCCTAACGCCGCTGCAACGCAAACGTGGGACCATGTTACTGCTGACCGAGTCGGTACCAAGCCGCACGGCCAGTGCGTGTCCTGTCTTTTGCTCTCCGACCTCACAGCAACCGGTTTCCATTTCTCTCGCTCCCTTTTTAGGCCGGTAGGGAGCAGGTGCTGGGGACCCCTCACCCCAGGACTGCTGACTCCGGGGCTTCTCAGGTTCCCGTAAAACCAAATCGCCTGCGCGCAGGAGCC